CTGAATGTTTCAACTAAGATGTACTATTCAGCCTGAATGTTTCAACTAAGATGTACTATTCAGCCTGAATGTTTCAACTAAGATGTACTATTCAGCCTGAATGTTTCAACTAAGATGTACTATTCAGCCTGAACGTTTCAACTAAGATGTACTATTCAGCCTGAACGTTTCAACTAAGATGTACTATTCAGCCTGAACGTTTCAACTAAGATGTACTATTCAGCCTGAATGTTTCAACTAAGATGTACTATTCAGCCTGAACGTTTCAACTAAGATGTACTATTCAGCCTGAATGTTTCAACTAAGATGTACTATTCAGCCTGAACGTTTCAACTAAGATGTACTATTCAGCCTGAACGTTTCAACTAAGATGTACTATTCAGCCTGAACGTTTCAACTAAGATGTACTATTCAGCCTGAATGTTTCAACTAAGATGTACTATTCAGCCTGAATGTTTCAACTAAGATGTACTATTCAGCCTGAACGTTTCAACTAAGATGTACTATTCAGCCTGAACGTTTCAACTAAGATGTACTATTCAGCCTGAACGTTTCAACTAAGATGTACTATTCAGCCTGAACGTTTCAACTAAGATGTACTATTCAGCCTGAATGTTTCAACTAAGATGTACTATTCGGCCTGAATGTTTCAACTAAGATGTACTATTCAGCCTGAACGTTTCAACTAAGATGTACTATTCAGCCTGAACGTTTCAACTAAGATGTACTATTCAGCCTGAACGTTTCAACTAAGATGTACTATTCAGCCTGAACGTTTCAACTAAGATGTACTATTCAGCCTGAACGTTTCAACTAAGATGTACTATTCAGCCTGAATGTTTCAACTAAGATGTACTATTCAGCCCGAACGTTTCAACTAAGATGTACTATTCAGCCTGAACGTTTCAACTAAGATGTACTATTCAGCCTGAATGTTTCAACTAAGATGTACTATTCAGCCTGAACGTTTCAACTAAGATGTACTATTCAGCCTGAATGTTTCAACTAAGATGTACTATTCAGCCTGAACGTTTCAACTAAGATGTACTATTCAGCCTGAACGTTTCAACTAAGATGTACTATTCAGCCTGAATCATACGGTTTCAACTAAGATGTACTATTCAGCCTGAATGTTTCAACTAAGATGTACTATTCAGCCTGAACGTTTCAACTAAGATGTACTATTCAGCCTGAACGTTTCAACTAAGATGTACTATTCAGCCTGAATCATACGGTTTCAACTAAGATGTACTATTCAGCCTGAATGTTTCAACTAAGATGTACTATTCAGCCTGAACGTTTCAACTAAGATGTACTATTCAGCCTGAACGTTTCAACTAAGATGTACTATTCAGCCTGAATGTTTCAACTAAGATGTACTATTCAGCCTGAACGTTTCAACTAAGATGTACTATTCAGCCTGAATGTTTCAACTAAGATGTACTATTCAGCCTGAACGTTTCAACTAAGATGTACTATTCAGCCTGAATGTTTCAACTAAGATGTACTATTCAGCCTGAACGTTTCAACTAAGATGTACTATTCAGCCTGAACGTTTCAACTAAGATGTACTATTCAGCCTGAATGTTTCAACTAAGATGTACTATTCAGCCTGAATGTTTCAACTAAGATGTACTATTCAGCCTGAATGTTTCAACTAAGATGTACTATTCAGCCTGAACGTTTCAACTAAGATGTACTATTCAGCCTGAATGTTTCAACTAAGATGTACTATTCAGCCTGAATGTTTCAACTAAGATGTACTATTCAGCCTGAATGTTTCAACTAAGATGTACTATTCAGCCTGAACGTTTCAACTAAGATGTACTATTCAGCCTGAATGTTTCAACTAAGATGTACTATTCAGCCTGAATGTTTCAACTAAGATGTACTATTCAGCCTGAACGTTTCAACTAAGATGTACTATTCAGCCTGAACGTTTCAACTAAGATGTACTATTCAGCCTGAACGTTTCAACTAAGATGTACTATTCAGCCTGAACGTTTCAACTAAGATGTACTATTCAGCCTGAACGTTTCAACTAAGATGTACTATTCAGCCTGAATGTTTCAACTAAGATGTACTATTCAGCCTGAACGTTTCAACTAAGATGTACTATTCAGCCTGAACGTTTCAACTAAGATGTACTATTCAGCCTGAATGTTTCAACTAAGATGTACTATTCAGCCTGAATGTTTCAACTAAGATGTACTATTCAGCCTGAACGTTTCAACTAAGATGTACTATTCAGCCTGAACGTTTCAACTAAGATGTACTATTCAGCCTGAATCATACGGTTTCAACTAAGATGTACTATTCAGCCTGAATGTTTCAACTAAGATGTACTATTCAGCCTGAACGTTTCAACTAAGATGTACTATTCAGCCTGAACGTTTCAACTAAGATGTACTATTCAGCCTGAATGTTTCAACTAAGATGTACTATTCAGCCTGAACGTTTCAACTAAGATGTACTATTCAGCCTGAATGTTTCAACTAAGATGTACTATTCAGCCTGAACGTTTCAACTAAGATGTACTATTCAGCCTGAATGTTTCAACTAAGATGTACTATTCAGCCTGAACGTTTCAACTAAGATGTACTATTCAGCCTGAATGTTTCAACTAAGATGTACTATTCAGCCTGAACGTTTCAACTAAGATGTACTATTCAGCCTGAATGTTTCAACTAAGATGTACTATTCAGCCTGAACGTTTCAACTAAGATGTACTATTCAGCCTGAACGTTTCAACTAAGATGTACTATTCAGCCTGAATGTTTCAACTAAGATGTACTATTCAGCCTGAACGTTTCAACTAAGATGTACTATTCAGCCTGAACGTTTCAACTAAGATGTACTATTCAGCCTGAATGTTTCAACTAAGATGTACTATTCAGCCTGAATGTTTCAACTAAGATGTACTATTCAGCCTGAACGTTTCAACTAAGATGTACTATTCAGCCTGAACGTTTCAACTAAGATGTACTATTAAGCCTGAACGTTTCAACTAAGATGTACTATTCAGCCTGAACGTTTCAACTAAGATGTACTATTCAGCCTGAACGTTTCAACTAAGATGTACTATTCAGCCTGAATGTTTCAACTAAGATGTACTATTCAGCCTGAACGTTTCAACTAAGATGTACTATTCAGCCTGAATGTTTCAACTAAGATGTACTATTCAGCCTGAATGTTTCAACTAAGATGTACTATTCAGCCTGAATGTTTCAACTAAGATGTACTATTCAGCCTGAATGTTTCAACTAAGATGTACTATTCAGCCTGAACGTTTCAACTAAGATGTACTATTCAGCCTGAACGTTTCAACTAAGATGTACTATTCAGCCTGAACGTTTCAACTAAGATGTACTATTCAGCCTGAACGTTTCAACTAAGATGTACTATTCAGCCTGAATGTTTCAACTAAGATGTACTATTCAGCCTGAACGTTTCAACTAAGATGTACTATTCAGCCTGAATGTTTCAACTAAGATGTACTATTCAGCCTGAACGTTTCAACTAAGATGTACTATTCAGCCTGAACGTTTCAACTAAGATGTACTATTCAGCCTGAACGTTTCAACTAAGATGTACTATTCAGCCTGAATGTTTCAACTAAGATGTACTATTCAGCCTGAACGTTTCAACTAAGATGTACTATTCAGCCTGAACGTTTCAACTAAGATGTACTATTCAGCCTGAATGTTTCAACTAAGATGTACTATTCAGCCTGAACGTTTCAACTAAGATGTACTATTCAGCCTGAACGTTTCAACTAAGATGTACTATTCAGCCTGAACGTTTCAACTAAGATGTACTATTCAGCCTGAATGTTTCAACTAAGATGTACTATTCAGCCTGAATGTTTCAACTAAGATGTACTATTCAGCCTGAATGTTTCAACTAAGATGTACTATTCAGCCTGAACGTTTCAACTAAGATGTACTATTCAGCCTGAACGTTTCAACTAAGATGTACTATTCAGCCTGAATGTTTCAACTAAGATGTACTATTCAGCCTGAACGTTTCAACTAAGATGTACTATTCAGCCTGAACGTTTCAACTAAGATGTACTATTCAGCCTGAATGTTTCAACTAAGATGTACTATTCAGCCTGAACGTTTCAACTAAGATGTACTATTCAGCCTGAATGTTTCAACTAAGATGTACTATTCAGCCTGAATGTTTCAACTAAGATGTACTATTCAGCCTGAATGTTTCAACTAAGATGTACTATTCAGCCTGAATGTTTCAACTAAGATGTATTATTCAGCCTGAACGTTTCAACTAAGATGTACTATTCAGCCTGAATGTTTCAACTAAGATGTACTATTCAGCCTGAATGTTTCAACTAAGATGTACTATTCAGCCTGAACGTTTCAACTAAGATGTACTATTCAGCCTGAATGTTTCAACTAAGATGTACTATTCAGCCTGAATGTTTCAACTAAGATGTACTATTCAGCCTGAATGTTTCAACTAAGATGTACTATTCAGCCTGAATGTTTCAACTAAGATGTACTATTCAGCCTGAATGTTTCAACTAAGATGTACTATTCAGCCTGTGGCTCTCGGCGGAATATGCCGGCAGAACAATAATTGGTAGAATTTGGTACTGTTCTGGCATGTAGCATGCAGGGAGTCGTCAAATACAAAAGGTTTTTGACGGCTCTCTGGTTTCATGATTGTTTGGTATGTGGACAAAGAAGTGGAGCAGAATTCAAACAGGTGCCTGCAATAAGACGTGTGTATGGTTCTGCCACTTTCACTGTTTTCGGGCAGAACCTGCCAACGGAGGGCTACGGTTCAGCATCTGAGCGCACACCGGCCTCAAGCGACACGTCCCCCAATATTTTAATGTCCGAGTCGGCCCGGATGCTGTGATCCAGCCGCCGAGACAGATCAACGAAGCCTCCATCCGGGGTCCTGCCTCCCCCAACAGACGATCAGGTATTTGTTGCATTGTGTTTGGGGTGACAAATAGCCTATGCTCTTGGTATTGTAAACACTGAGGGTGTCATACTCCTGCAGATCCGACTAAACCAATAGAGTATTAATAAGCACATGTAGGTTAATAATGGTAAAGGAAAGATACAAAGGTCAAACAAAAATAGACGATGAGAAAGGGATGTACTATTAGAAGTAGAACAAATCACAGCAAATGATTTTACGAGAGCATGGCTGGGTGATACATTTAATCAGTTAGTCAATTCAGGTTACTATCAACACATTGAACAAACAAACTCAATGACACACCCAACGGCACACGGCTGTCCTCCTCTTGCAAACTCCTCACTTGCTGAACTAGCAGTAAATGGTCCTCAAGCCGTGGATGCTCTCCTCAAAACAAGCTGCAGAGAATCCATTGGCATTGAGCAGAACAGATCCACATGCAAGCAGACACAGAAACCCACGTATGCCACACACACACACACACACACACACACACACACACACACACACACACACACACACACACACACACACACACACACACACACACACACACACACACACACACACACACACACACACACACACACACACACAACACACACACACACACACACACACACACACCAATAAGTACAGTCAACTTCGCCTATAACGACACTCGGCGGGGCATCAAAAAAGTGTCGTTATTCGCGAAGTGTCGTTATACCCGAAGTCTCATTATTTATTACAGTTGGAAGGGACTTTGCTCTGGGCATGGAAATGCTGTCGTTATTCGCGAATTGTTGTTATACCTGCAGTCGTTATAAGCGAAGTTGACTGTACGCACATTCGTATGAAGACAGGTAGTTCTGAAAAATGAGGACTTAGACCTCAGAACAGGGTTTTAGGGCTATCTGTTTATGCCTAGGAAGAGACGAGGTAGACATAGACGAGCCTCACGAGGTTGACCGAGATGAGACGAGGTTGAAGACGAGACGAGACTGACGACGAGACGAATGCCGGGCAGTAGAGAACAAGGGTCGTGGGTTCCGAGCAATGGTCGTGCGCCAATGTTGAGTATGAATTAGAACAACTGACGACATCTTCTCCAGACATTACAATGGACAACGGGAACAAGTTATTGGGAGCGACATCTATTATAGACGATGAGACAAGAGACCAAGGCGAACGAAACGACTACATTGAAGAGTGAGAAAGAGATTATTTGAAGAGAGAGAGCTCGACTGAGAAACAACGCAATATAAAGGGCCTGGTAGCCATGTCAAACATGGGCGCGCAAGTAGCTACCCAGGCCAACGGAACGAAAGGTGAGTATGACGTAGTACAGGTGCATGCAGGCCGGCCAGCTTATGAAAGGTTGTAGGTAAGATTGTACGGGAGGAGGTTCCTAACACTAGGATAGAAGCGAGCGATATGGGCTGATGGTTGGCGGGGCTATCCTGGGGAGCAGAGGTAGATTTCAGGATCGGGGTTATATTTGCAGTTTTGAAGTGATTCGGAACTATTCCGGATGACAGGGAGGCATTAAATATTTCGGTCAGTGAGGGGGCGATGACTTCTTTCGATACTTTACTAAGAGTTCTACATAATTTCTTGACAAGACGGAGACGAACAGACAAGAAGACCGGACACGACGAGATAAACTGATAACTGAACAAAAAGACATTTATGGCAGCATATGAGCATGCGAGCAAGAAAACACAACGCATGACAATGACGTAACCGTTACTTGGATCATGTACAAACTATACATGCAACCAAACCAGTCCAACACGGGTCAAAGCAGAACGCAAAACGAACCAAAATAAACGAAAGGACCACAACAAAAACGAGCCATGAAAAGTCTTTCTACCGATACACAACAATCAGGACCTGGGGACTTGTGGATGTTGAGTTTGTCTATTAAGGCCTTGACTTCTACGATGGTTGGTTTGTAAGCAATCATATCATTGTTCGCCCGTGGACCAAGTGGCACGTCATAGGAGACATCAGGGTCTGTCACGATACTATGGAAATATGCATTGAGTTCGTCGGGATCAAGGTTGACATGTTGGACTGGAGCGGAATGCTTGGTAATTATGTTCAGAGACTTCCAGAACTTCCGCGGTTCTCGTTCATACGTGTGGAATTTGGCCGTGAAGTATACATTCTTAAGGCGTCAAAATAGATTGTCGCATTTCGTGCGTAGTTTTTTTAATTTCGTTCCAAGGGAAATATTCTAAAAACCATCAGCCTTCCACTGTTTGTAGACTGCCTTGCGTTCCCGAGCTGCTGTCCGATACTTGGGGGTTAAAAATGGGTAGGTAGGCTTCCTCTTAGGCGTTCTTCGAGTCGTATTTACCACTGGAGCTACTGTATCTAGGGCGCATTGACCTTCCCCGTCCACTCAGCAACCATCGCGTCAACATCATAGGTAGTTAAGGTGTTAATGGAATTGAATTGGGGGGCAGAACAGAATAAATTTTCATCGAAATTTCTGAAGTTGCTACTAGCATTGTTCCGAGTTGTTGCATGGTCTGAGTTGGTGTCGATGGCTACGGGGAGGGAAGTCGTGATGAGGCAGCAGCCAGAGTGTTCGCATGCGTGGGTAGAAGCAGGCGCAACAGCTGTGATATTAGTCAGCATGCAATCGATCGATGAACTTGATCGGACGGTGACTCGTGTTGCATCTCCAACGACATTTGTGAAGTTGAAGGGCAGTAATATCTTGCGTTGAAGATGGTGGAACTGAAGTTTGGTCTGATCCAAGAAGTCGGTGTTCAAGTCCCCTACAGTCTTGTTCTGCATCATCTTGGTCAATAGTTTCGGCAAGCAGATCCCAATAGGTTACGGGTTGAGATGGGGGGGGGGGGGGGGGGGCGGTAAAGGCATCCAACGAGGATATTATCACGGCGGGCGATTTGGATCCTCACCCAAGATAATTCCAGGAGGGGGTTTGTACAGTTCGTTTCTACAGAAGCACTCACTGTGTTCCTCACGTATATGAATATGTTGTCCCTGCCCTTTTGGAGGGTATGTGCCCCTTTTGGCACGTGCGTGCGGACTGCGCAGGTTGCGCATGCGTGCATGCTTATCGTGCGCATCCTGGTTGTTTTGGGTGCCTTCTTCCTGAGACTCTCCTTGGAGCAACAATGATAATCTGTCCTCTGCGTGTGGCGTACGTGTATGAATAAGAGAGTAATCGGAAGGGCTATCGTGCGAGGGAATAAAGCCCTCGATGACACATACACCTCCACCCTTTCTGCACAGGTTGCAGGTGGTTAGGCAGGAGCAGTTTGGTTGGCATGCTCTATCTCTTGGGAACAATGTCATGCAGTGTATTGATATCGCTGCGTCGGAGATACTATTGTCGAGCCACGTTACTGTAACTGCCAAGATGTCTAGTGTATGCTGCTCCATGACGGCATGAGCTCTTCAACAATATGTGTTTTATGCCTCAAACTCCAAAATTATTAATATGTCCAATGGGAATTGTGAGTCCCTGTGGGTAGGAAATGGGGGAGAAAATAACATTTACGGGTACTGGGTGGGACTGGTTGGAAGGGGAAAAGGGGCCAGCCTGTGGATTTCAATTACTTTTGAATGGCACCATCTACTTGGAAGTGATGCGGTCAGCCTGGAAGCGCCATTCTCGGACTCTGACAGTTGGTGGCCAGAAGTCGGAACTTAGTGCGGCACCTCGGCAATCTGCAGGCAGGACGACATGGACAAAGGCGACTCCAAAATATTTCCTTTCCGACACAGAACACTTCAGTACTTGGACGTCGCGACCTTCACACCATTTCGCGATGGACTCTGAAGAGCAGCCACTATCAATGTTGCCCACGTACAAGGCACAACATTTTGTACGGGAGCTGGCCACCAAGTGTTCCATTATCGGTTTGGGTCGAGGGCGTTGGTAGTAGCTGGTAACGGTTATCGTAGTGGGTCGTACGGGAGTTGTGCCGGTTTGAACCACTTTGGAGCTGTATGAGGCCGAGGGTACGGGTTGTGTGGGTGCAGGTGGACATACGGGAGGTACGGAGTGGGTATCTGTTGACTGGGCCAGTGTTTGATCTGCACTGTGATCAGATGCAGGGAGGGCGGCGGTTGGACTTGGAGTATGCATTCCTTTTTTGAACAAGGCAATTTCATCGCGAAGTGTGGCAACTTGAGACTGCAAGTCTGCTATTTGGGAGACCCTGCCTGAAAGTTCCTTCATGCAGCATGAACACCCATCCACAGCATCCCTTTTAACGACAATAAGTGGGCATCCGACTGACCTGCTGGGGACGGATAGCCAATACCTCGGCCCTGCAACCGGTGGACGAGTTGAGGCCGGGTTCCTGTACTGGCGATATGGCGGGCTTTCGCGAGCTCTCGCAGTTCCTTGTTGTCCAGGAGTGCCAGGTCCTCAGATATGACCGCATCTGACGGAGTGGTGGCCATGGTGTCCAATTTAGGGATAGCAAAAGTACACCGGAAGCACGTCCAGAAGACTACACGGAAAAGGAGCAGAGCTCCAAAAAGTGCATCCACCTCCAAATTTGAAAAACCAGTACACTCGTACTAGTGTTGAAACGAGCGTATCTATAACAAACGAGCGACTCACTAACGAGCAAGCTATCGAGCAAGCTAACGAGTTTCATTGATGTGGCAAATATGATTTTTTGAATTTTTTTCTAAGTTCGATTTTTTCAGCTGGTTCAAATATCACCGCCGGCATCTGGGGTTGCTGCTGCTTCACTTCGAACTGCTGTTTGGTGTCGAGACGTCTCTTCAGCGCCGTCGTTGAGCAGCCTTTGTAAGAATAGGCCCTTTTGCAAAGATTGCAAGTAGCCCTGTTCTTCGCTGCATCGCGGGAGAAAACTTCCAAACAACTCAGCGTAACTTTAACTCGAATGGAGAGGTGACCGAAGCATATCCTGCGACAGGTCAGCAGATGCGGAACAAGACATCAGTAGAGTCCACCAAAGCTGCAACGACAACTGAAACAACTCAGTGTCGTGCAGGTATACAGTCACTGTAACTGCGAGTGATTTTCACTTTGCGTGGGACTGGACTCTCGATCGACCAGGGAGTCATAAAATATTCTACGACTCCCCGGTCGACATGTACTGCCACATGTTTCGGAGTACGGTGTACAGTGTTCGTTAGTGCAAACAAGCTGGCCGCACAAACGAGCCGAGTTTCTGGCGAGCGAGCTAACGAGTACCCGGTGAGATTGTTTCAACACTACACGGTACGTATCATTTTCTACATAACGACTTCAAATGTTAACGAATTTTAAAAATTTGTTAAATCTTTAGAATTAAATGTTTGTGTCTTTCCCTCAAACTAGTCAAGAGTTAAGAGTTAAGGAGGTTCGCGACGGTTAGCGCCATGTTGGATTTCCGAATTTTTTTCTGAAAAATAATGCCTTTCGGAGTGGAAAAATGGGACGCGATCATGCACAGAAAATAGTTTGACCATGACTTCGAGGTGCTCGAGTCGAGACAAGATTTGAGGAAGAAGCTCAGCCACTAGTGGACTTGCGGATTTGTTTTGACATTGGCGGTTTTTGGATAGCTCGGTTCTCCTGCCGACGTGTCGTGGAGATGAAGACGCGGGAGAGTAATCCGTCACCCACGACGCGGCCTCTCATTCTGCGTACTGGACGATGCAAGAAGCTTCGCAAACTCGAACGATCGATCGAGTTCCTGAAAAACGGAAAGGGCGATCTCCATCACTAACGCCACTGGATTCGACTCCCGCGAAGAGGTCGTTCAGTGCCCCTCTTCACGGTCGACGAATCGTTCATCTCAGGTATCTGGCTGTGGGATTGTCTGCGTGCCAGAATCCTGGATGTGGCAAACCTCTGGCGCTCATTGATTGCGTTGAAGAGAAGAGGTACGACCTGGGCAGCGTACTTGTCATTCTGTGTCAGCAGTGTGGGATGGAGAATTTATAGATACAGATAGCCCTGTAACTGCTCAACACCCTGGCCCCCGTGCTTCCACAAGCAACACCAAAGCTGCTTTGGGTAAGTGCGTTTTTCAATCTCATAAGATTTACTCATGATATTTGGGAGTCATTGCCACCCTATGGCTATGGAAATGTATGAGCACACTGTATGCGCGGCGGCCGCGAGCGTCCGTGTGTTTGCATAGACCTGCATGTTTGTGCATGTGTGCACCATACGCATGTATGAACATGCACATGCATATGCGCTCATGTGGACGTGCCCTCGCACACATACTATACACACGTGCATGACCGCTCCCAGGGCATGTTGGTGTTACATGTGTATGCGGGCATCTCCACTCATGCACATGAGTGTGCACATGCATATGGGTGGGTACGCACACGTGCGTGAATGTATGTGTGTGTGTACGCGCGCGTGTGTTCTATTGCGTGTGAGAGCATGCATGTGTGTGTGCGTGTGTGTGTGTGTGTGTGTGTGTGTGTGTGTGTGTGTGTGTGTGTATGTGTGCACGGATGTGTGTGTCGATGGTGTGCATTTTTGTGATTGGTGAACACTCTGATCCCTAAACCGCGATACCGGAGCTCCCAAGCTACAGCCTCAGATTGATTTATAGTTCATCGTTGGGAATGAGTTCGCTGCTCATGATGCTGTTGCGGATGTTGCGGCCCTAGCTGAAATTGTCGAAGCTCGCCCTGATGCCAGTATCCTGTAGCACTCTGTCACTTTTGCATCAGCATGTTCGGCGATGGAGTTTGCAGAACATGAGCAAAAGCGGCTGGCCACCCTTCAACCGTTGGTCCAAGCAACGTGCTTCTCTAAATCAGTTGCAGTGCGGGCAGCTGCCAGTGGGTTGGTGATGAAGCACTTTGTCTTGTCCTACAAACGAAGTGGTGAGCCAGCCATTTCCAGACTGATGAAGGAGCAAGTCGGAGGTAAGAAGCGGGTGACAGTCTCAAGGAAGATTATATTAGTGGTGGCTGAACACCTAGCGAAGAACCAGCAGCAACCCAACTGTAAGGAACGCCCTGTGGCACAGTGCTTCACTTGTTTGTGCGCACCGTAAAATACCATCATTTTTGCCAGTGTGGGATCACATTCTAGCTCGCATAGTTGAAGAACAAGAGGACTCAATGTTGTCTGATTCATTCCAACATGTCAGCTTTCATTGTAGTTTGATATGGGGCAGTGCTAAGCGCTATCATAGCTACATGTACATGTATCACAACCAAGTGCCAACAGGAGAGTAATCATGGAGAAAAGTACCTATCACTAATGCGTGCACCCAGGGTTTTCCGGCAAATTTACTAGTTGGGCCGCGATCAGCTAAAACATGTCTTTGGGGTTTCGTAAAAAAAGTTGGGAAATGACGAAATGAAAAAAATGTTTTTTTGGAGCACGTTCACTCTGCACTTCGTTCAAATGATTCATGATGTGGCGATCATCTTCTCAAATTTTGTTCAAACACTTGTTTGGCGTTCTACTTCAAGTAGCTGGCGAGCGAAGACTGACAATAGGGAGGTTCCGGAGTACGATTTTTCGTGCCAAAATCCGTGGAGGCTCTACGGATTTTTTATACGTCGTTTTCGAGCAGTGAAAAGTTCCGGGGTACGGAACTTATGTGTTTGCCGTCATTGCCTAGGTAACGATCGCAAACACGTCACATTCCCGCGCTATGCCTTTTTATTTTGAAAATTGTACCGAAATCAAAACTTCCCGCGAAAAATCGATGTTTCTCGTACCAAATTTGTACGCGAAAAATCTTTCTGCACCCGATGACGCAAAATCTCCATACGAAGCATGGTTCGTATGAAAGCCAGTCCACACGGATTCTCGTGCCGAAAAATCGTATGGAGCACGCCTGGAAAAAATCCGTAGCGCCCATACGGATTTTGGCACGGAAAATCGTACCCCGGAACCTCTCTAATGTCCGCATCTAGTGATACTAGAGCAGCTCACAGGGCCAGACGATCGCTGTGCACAGCCCAGGTTTGTTCAGGTGTCTGCAAGTCCGTGGCGGCAGGTCTGCAGAGCGACGCTGACAATATTATTTGTTGGGATCTCATTGATGTTGATGTCGACAGCGAAGCTGAATCGTCCCCGTCGTCTCCAGTAGCGAAGAGGCACAAGTTGTGGGCTAGTACATAATCATTTAGGCGGCGAACCGGCTGCCTTACGATGTTACTTGCGTTCAGCTCTCATGAGGCGTCTGACGCAGTCTCGGAAACGCAGGCGATGATCGAAAGTGTCACTGCCAGAATCGAAAGAGTATGCAAGTGCAACGCCGCCCAGCGCATCGTGTTGCTTTCCAGGAAGAACTTGGGCCATGCCTTTGAACTGATGTCGTTGACATGCTCAAGTCGGTGTCAACATCTTAAGTTCCGTTGTATTGTGCTCCGCCACAAAAGCCACTAAGTAATAGTTTGTCTCTTTGTGTCAGACTGTGCGAAAACTGTCATTTTCTATTTCAAAGTACATATTTTGAAAGCGGTGTTTGGGGCACTTGTAGACTACTTTTCTGCCCTGTATCACCTTCAAGAGGTCAAGTAAGGTCCCAAGAACTGTTTTCTGGAGGAAAACAAAATTTGAAAATTTTCACCCTAAGACATGTTTTAGCTGGTTGTGGCCCAGTTCAGCTATTCCATCCTTGTATTGTTCTGAACGCCGAGGGCTCTAGTGAGTTTATGCAACACCTAACAGCCAAAAATCCAATAAGTTATGACCAAAGCAGCAGCAGAGAAGTACAAGCAATATAGATACGTGAATTTACCAATTTTAGGCAAATTTTGACAGTTTTTTGGATTTTTCTCCAGAATATGCACGGTGACCCCTATTTTCGCCGCGGTAAACCTGTTCCAACCCACTTATAGAACGTGTTTGAAGTATCCACATATGGGGCAAACTCAAAAATAAGCTGCAAAAAATATTCAAAGTTTCATTTTTTGCGTCTTTTTGTTCTTCTCCAGGAAATGATGACCTGGATCCCATCGTCAACCAAAGTGTACATTTTTCGGTGTTGATATCATCTTAGTCAATACCTCGAACAGTCTGTAAAATTTTATGTCATATTTTCTGTCCTAACTGATGTTATGGACGATTTCTCATCAATTTTGGGATTTTGTGTTATTTTGTGTCATCAAGGAAAATTGTGTTTTTGGCAAGACCTATTCGGGCAATTGAAAAACTGATGTTACTAAGCGAAAATATAAGGCTGTACCTATTCAAACCTGATGTCAGATTGGGCTGATGTTGAAATTAAATTTTTAGGGCTAACTGTCCCGAACCCCCTTAAATGTTCGTTAACATTACTTGTCTTACAGTACAGACCAATAGTGTGACTGCTTCCCTTGCTTGTCTGAAATGTACCACTTACTCTTGGGCCGAGGCAAATGTGAATCATGAACTTCCTATTGCTGGGGATGAATAGATCTGTGCCATCCGGTAAAGGGCGGCTTGCTAAGCCATACTTGGGTACGGAGTTCACAGGCACATCCTTTGGCGTAATCCAGCCAGACCCGCCAGTTCCCAAATTCTTCGTCAGGTAGTAGTTCACGCACTCCTTCTCATGGGTCGTTGGCAGGGTCATGCTGAGGGCATGACAGCCATCACGAGCCTCGGTGTAATTCACGCCAAGCCGAGTTGGAATATAGTTGACCCGCTGAGTGTAAGAGACCGTGACCGTGTTGTTATCCTGCAGCCGTGTGAGCTGACATGTCGCACCTAGCACCAGGAAACGCAAATACATCGGCAAAAACATGAGCTCGAAAATACTCTACTGTTACCTGACAGTCGCGTGACATGCTGGTAGCTTATGGTCATGTGACATGCTGGTAATTATCTGATGGTTATTTCACCGTGCTGGTATCTGATAGTCACGTAACACATTGGTATCAGATAGTCACGTGACAAGCTGGTAACCAATGGTCATGTGACAGACTGACAGCTAATGGTCATGTGACAGACTAGTATCTGATAGTCACGTGACGCATTGGTATCTGATAGTCATGTGACACATTGGTATCTGATAGTCACATGGCACGTTGGTAGCTAATGGTCATGTAACAGACCGGCAGCTACTATAATAGGGACCTTTCGCACAACGCGTACAAATACGAAACGAATGCTGATTCGTCGCCTGGGTTCGAGGATTCGTCAGATCCCCATATGAGGACTCGTTTTCACGAATGGAAGCCTCTTCATCCGTGGATCGCTCCGAATCCGTCAGGTTGCATTTTTGCCAGGTAAGTGTTTTCCGCGGGACATTCGAAAGCGCTTCAGCTCAAAAGCTCTGTGTGCTTTGTTTTTGGTTTATTTGAGATGATCAGTTCGACCTCGATTTTCAAGTAAGTTGTCCTTCATCCTGCTTATTTTGTTTCTGTTTGTGTGTTTCTAGATATCTGACTCAGACTGCAGTGCTGCAATGGCTGACCCATCCAAGCGTACCATGAGGAAGTTTGCTGCCAACCACGATGAAGCCCTCGTGAAGGAGTTGTTGGCCGGAGAGAATCCGTTTGTTCAATCTGCATCCTCCAGTGTGTGGAGCAGGATCGCAGACAGCTTGGCTACCTTGTTTCCGGAGAAGATGGGTGGCCTGACACCTCGTGGTGCCCATGACTGCGCTGAGAAGCTCGTCCGCGATGCCCAGGCCAAACAGAACAAAGACGCCAGTGCTTCTGGTATAGTGGAGGACTTCGGGCCCAAAGAACAAGCCCTGGTCAGCGTAGTAGAGCTTTATGAAGTTGCTGCTGCTCAAAAAGCCTGTGCCGCCGACGACCTGAAAAAAAAGCAGCAGCAGGATGCAGATATGAGGAGCAAGGCGGCGAGCATGAGAGATGGTGCGTTCTCATGTCTCAAGCGAAGGGCTTGCGATGGTAAGTTTTCAAACTAGACCAGAACACATGCAATGAACTCGAATACCAACTTTCAGGGTTGTGAGTTGTGTAGTTATCCACTGATTTGTCGTAGTGTCTGTGAGCGAACTTGGCTTTTCATGTTTCCATTTCTGCCAACAGGCCATAGTTCCTTGCTTGTGTATCTTGCTGCACCAACATTGACATGAGTAATACTTGCAGATACATGCAGATACATGTGTGTGTGTGTGTGTGTGTGTGTATGTGTGTATGCATGTGTGGATGCCGGACAACCGCATCCCGAAACAGGTGCTGTTTGGCTCCTTCTTGCAGCGTCGCCCGGCACATGGCCCATGCTGCAGATGGAAGGACTGTGCTGTCCGGGATCTACGTGCCCGTGGTGTGGAGGCATTTTTTTTTTACTGAATACCACAGTACCATCAGATGCTGCACAGCGGGGGCGGTGGCATATTGGATGGAAGTGGGGACGGGGCAAAAGTAACTCCTCCGACCAAAGGTCTCGGAATCATCGTTACTCCTGTGCGCCGATACATAGGAGAAAAGAAACATGTGCATCCAAGAGGGAAGCACCGGCTTTGCAAACGATAATGGGGAGAATTTGAGATTGAGATAGGACAAAACAATAGTAAAAGCAGTGCACCGTAGGAAGCATCATGGTATGATGTTGCATGTGAGTCTCGCGCACCTACCAAGAGCCTGACAATGCGCCTGAGCCTCCGCCCCGAGTGGTATGTACGGTATGCGGAGGGGATTTTGCACGGAAAGGAGACATGGCTCGGCATACGTGTCTGGAGGAGCGTGCGCGGCCTGTGTCTGAGCACACATTGGTATCTGATAGCAGGGACTAATTTACTTCAAAAAAATTGCATAGCAATAATTGCTACACACCTCGATGTTTGCATAGCAACGCAACAATTTTGCATAGCAGTTTTTTTCCGTCGACAATGCAGTCTTCAGTGCACTTCCACTTATACCGTCAACAAACGCCATGCTGCCTCAAACCACGAAGCGAGGACGCCTTCTCCCTGCACATCTTGCAAAATATCTTGGTCACAGCTCCACCACTCGACTCTGCGCGAATCCATTCTTTTTTGGGATCAAATTCAGCAATCCACTTGTCCACAGTACCTTGCTTCACAGACATGCCGGCAGTGAAGAGGCTTCATCAATAAGGCTAGCAGAATTTTACAAAGATAAGTCCTGAACGGTCGAGACGCCTACTGCTAGTGAAGCAACGCGGTCTAAATCTCAAAAGCAGGTGAAGTACTTGTCGACACTCGCCTCGTGCTTCCTGGGCTGCACTTCAAGTAAATATTAGTTAGTTAGTTTCCAAGTGCACGTGCTGCGGTGCGCTTGCGGAGATAGTGTGACATATGGCCATGGTCTCGCGGCCCGCGCGTGCGTATGGTGTAAAATCTACCTGCAGTGCAGGCTGGACAACCACACACACACAGTCTAATCTAGTCACAGTGCATGGCGCGCCATCTCGTGGCGCCAAACCAGCCACACACACTGTAAAGCTACACATGTGCATGCGCTACGCGTGCACTACAAGTCTATGTCCAGGGACCATACTTAGCTGTATGTTGTGTCGCAGTTTACCGCGACTCACTACGAACTTCGAATCGCAGACACTGTGTTTTGCGTCGCAAATTGCGATGCGATACCGGTTAAATTAGTCCCTGGATAGTCACGTGACAAGCTGGTAACCAATGGTCATGTGACAGAATGGTAGCTAATAGTCATGTGACAGACTGGTAACTTATAGTCACGTGACACATTTGTATCTGATTGTCACATGACACGTCGGTAGCTAACGGTCATGTGACAGACTGGCAGCTACTATAATGATAAGAACAGACGACCAGATTAAGGGAATCTAAAATCTCTTTTGAAGAAGGGGTTACTGGACCATTCAATGCTGTCGAAGTCCCTAGCATGCAGGGGTTAGGGTGTGTTTGGGTGATCAGGCCATCCCATGTGCAAATGTCATAGCAGCCCGTATGAGCACACACATAATTACAATTGCGCACACTGGGTGCTGCGTGTCACCACTCTTGTTCAGTTTTCTAGTACACATTAGAGAGGTTAAGTTACACGTTTTTTGCCCTTTTTCAAAACGCGGTGCAAATCTCACGTTACGTGTAATTTTTAGAGGTTAAGTTACACGTGCGACGTGACGTGAAATTTTGCCTGGCAGGATTCGGGTTTAGTTAGCACAAATATCAAATCTTCCCACAAACTCGATAAAACTCGATAAAATTCCGGAAACTCACACAAATTCGGTCGGGATAACCAAGCGAAACTTCTAAAAACTCACGTCATGAACTTACGTGCGGGACAGTCAACTCACGTAAAACACGTCAAATTTTACGTGAGTTTTTTCACTTTTTGACGTAAAAGTTCCCGGACGTAAGACTTTTACGTGAAACTTAACCTCTCTAATGCTGTGAACACCCACGGTGCAAAGGCACAGGCCCAGTAAAGAAACTACTTCTTTCGGTAGATATAGAAAGAGAATCTGAGATGACCAAACAAGGTTTACAGGTTTACCTGTTTTGTGTCCAACATTTTAACAAATTTAATCATGATACTGGTTAGTCAGAATGTGCAATGATTAGCACAACGTGACTGACTAGACAGTCAGGAGCTATGCGCCTGTATTTTTTTCCTCCAAACAATACATGGCTGGGGCTGCCCATAACCACTTTGCGTGGCGTATCACCCCCTAGAATTCATTGTGACCAGTGCAGCCAGTCATTCTGCTCCACTAATGACCTACCAGGGTCCTACCAGGGTCCTACCAGGGTCCTACCAGGGTCCTACCAGGGTCCTACCAGGGTCCTACCAGGGTCCTACCAGGGTCGAAAAACTAACTATACGTGTTCACTATATGTGTGTGTGTCCACAGTTCAATCTCTGAACACAAATAGTGCTTTTGGAGAAAGAGAACAAACGGGGAGAGAAAAAGAGAGAGAGGGGGGGAGAGAGAGGGGGGAGAGAGAGAGAGAGAGAGAGAGAGAGAGAGAGAGAGAGAGACAGAGAGAGAGAGAGACAGAGACAGAGACAGAGACAGAGACAGAGACAGTGACAGAGACAGAGACAGAGACAGAGACAGAGAGAGGGAGTGTGATATCCATGTACATGTCTTGTGTTGACGTCACTAAGACGTCACTAGGACTCTGCATGCACGCAGGCCAACCTGTGTTTCCTTGCCTTTTCCTTGTTGTTCTGTCTTCCGAGTCCTTGAAGTGACTTCCTCGTTGTTGGCTTTTGTGATTAGAATTATACATACCGGTAACATCCTTGTCTCAGTCTGGGTTGTAATAATTGGCGACGAAGATAAAAGTATTAGACGATGGCCATGGCCTCCAGTTTCTGCCAGATGGAGCCATTTGACGGCCAGAACTTCTCCGATTATTTGGATCGTCTCGAGTGTTATTTTGCCGCAAGTAGAATCGGAGTGGCAGCTACCACCGATGCAGACGACGTCACTGCTGCAGGAAAGGTCAAAACGGCTGCCCTGATTGCGCTGATGGGTAAAGCTACCTACTCGACGCTGAAAGACTTGTGCTTTCCTGGCAAGCCAACGTCTAAAACGTTCGATGCGATAGCCGATCTCCTCAAGAAACACTTCCAACCGAAGCTGAGTTTAGTGGCGGAAAGCTATCGTTTCCATCAGTGCCGGCAAGGAACGGAATCTGTCACGGATTTTGCAAATCGCCTGAAGAGACTGGCGTCCACTTGCGAATTCGACTCCCACTTGGATCGCGCACTGAAGGACCAGTTTGTGCAAGGGCTACGAGGCCAATCCATCACGAAGAAACTGCTGACTATGGCGAACGACAAGAAATTTGCTGATTTCTTAGCCACGGCAACTTCGGAGGAACTCGCTGATGCGCGGACTGCAGAGCTGACATCGGCCTCAAGGACTACAGACGTCCACAGTCTTCGGTCCGCGCCATCATCGCTGAAGTCGCGTTCGTACAACGACAGGCCTCCCAAAGCTGGCCGCAAGTGCACTGGCTGCGGCGGACAATGGCACGAGAGACGAGAGAGCTGCCCTGCCTGGGGAAAGCCGTGTAATTTCTGCCACAAGCAGGGCCATTTCGCATCTGTGTGCAGAGCCAAGGACAAGGTACACTTTGTGCACAATCCAGCGCCGGACGCGGGGGAATCAGACTCGGCAATAAACAGTGAGGAGTATTGTCCGGAACAGCCATGTAAGCAGTACTGTCGACCCGTATGTCTGCACTGTTCGCATTGGCCGCACCCCAATGGCATTCGAGATCGACACCGGGGCTGCAGTTACTGTGATTAATGAACGGCATTACCATGATTTGGCTTCCAAGGAACAGTTGATGCTGGAAACTGACGACTTACCCAGTCTACGTACGTATGCCAGCAAGATCATCCCAACGGTAGGCCGCGTGAGAAGCGAAACCAGCAACGGAGGACGCAAGGCTGAGCTGGTCTATTATGTGATCAAAGGCACTGGACCCAATCTGCTAGGTCGCATTGGAGAAACTGAGGCTCAACTGGAACCAAGTTTTCAACGTCACTGCTGACATGCCGAAGAATATCCTGGACAAGCATCCGGAACTATTCAAGTCTGGCCTGGGCACTTGGCGACATGGCAGTGTCAAGCTGGCAGTGGACCGTAACGTGAGGTTTCCTATTCACTCAAGTCGGCAGAGGAGAAGGAGCTGGACCGGCTGGTGAAAGAGAACATTATCCACCCCGTGCAGAGTACCGATTGGGCTGCACCGATTGTGCCAGTGCTAAAGAACAATGGCCAGATACGTATCTGTGGCGACTACAAGTGTACCATTAATCAATCATCCAAGACAGACAAGTATCCGTTACCCAACATAGAAGACTTATATGTGAAACTGAATAAAGGATGCTGCTTCACGAAGTTAGATCTCAGCCAGGCCTATCAGCAGCTACCGTTAGACGAACAGTCTCAGCTTCTCACGGCTATCAACACAAGCAAAGGCCTATTTGTGTATAATCGCTTGCCTTTTGGAGTGTCCGCTGCACCTGGTATCTTTCAGCGCACCATGGAGCAGCTGTTGGCTGACATTCCAATGGTCGTAGTGTACCTGGACGACATCCTCATATCTGGCACAACACGAGAGGAACACGACCTCCATGTCAAAATGGTCTTGGAGCGTCTTGAATCGGCTGGTCTGCGCTTGAACCGGGACAAATGTGTGTTTGGCCATTCATCTGTCACTTTCCTCGGCCACATCATTGATTCAACCGGAATAACGCCGACAGCTGAGAAAGTGCAAGATGTGCTGGACGCCAAGGCACCGACTAACGTATCGCAGCTCAGAAGCTACTTGGGATTGATTAACTATTATCACAAGTTTGTACGGAACTTAAGTACTGTGTTGAAACCCCTGTACGAATTGCTCTCTAAGAAGCAGTGGCGATGGTCTGACTGTGAACAGTCTGCTTTTGAGAAAAGCAAAGCCATGCTACTAGAAGCACCATGCCGTGTACATTACGACCCGAAGATGCCAATTGTCGTCAGTTGTGATGCATCACCGTATGGTATTGGTGCCGTTCTCTCACACATCACTGCGGACGGAGACAAGCATCCAGTCGTGTTTGCATCGAGAACATTGTCCTCAGCGGAACAGAAATATGCACAGATCGAGAAAGAAGGCCTGGCTATGGTGTTCGCCATCAAGCGCTTTCATAAGTATTTATTTGGCCGCTCGTTTGTGCTGCAGACTGACCACAAGCCTCTACTTGGTCTATTTCAGGAAGATCGTCCGATTCCGCCGATGGCCAGTGGTCGCATCCAACGCTGGGCCCTACTACTAGCAAGCTACGACTACCAGCTTCAGTTCAAGTCGGGCAGCAACAATGGTAATGCTGATGGACTCAGTCGGCTACCATCACCCTCATCGGTACCAGAAGTCCCAACACCAGCCGAAGTCGTTCTGTCGATGTCTGTCCTGGAGAACACTCCGGTCACATCCACCACCATTGCTCAATGGACGAGCAAAGATCCGGTGCTGTCACTTGTCCTCAAGTACGTCGAAGAAGGTTCGCCAGACAACATCCCCGTGGATTATCAAGCGTATTCCCGTCGTCGTAATGAGCTTTCAGTAATAAGTGGCTGTCTTTTGCTGGGCTCACGTGTTATTATTCCACCAAGAGGCCGTGAGACGCTCCTGGAAGAATTACATGAAGGTCACCCGGGCATAACCCGGATGAAAGCCCTCGCCCGCAGCTACATCTGGTGGCCATCTATTGACGACGAGATAGAGCTCAAGATCAAGAGCTGCCAACCGTGCCAAGCCATTCAGAAGTCACCAGCCCTTCAGCCGCTACATCCCTGGGAATGGCCAGGTAAACCATGGGTGCGTCTGCATGTCGATTACGCAGGTCCAGTTGAAGGCAAGATGCTCCTGGTTATCGTTGACAGTTTCAGTAAGTTTATTGAAGTCCACCCGGTATCGTCTGCAACCTCGGCAACTATTGCCAAGCTCCGTCAGACATTTGCAACGCACAGACTGCCGCTTCAACTTGTTTCCGACAATGGCTCAGTATTCACCAGTGACGAATTTCAACGATTCTGTTCTGCTAATGGTATCAAGCATACCCGGTCATCTCCGTACCACCCAGCCAGCAACGGTCTAGCTGAGCGTGCCGTACAAACTGTCAAGAATGCGCTGAAGAAGTCTGTTGGTGATTCTGATTTGGAATCCCGTC